AAAAAAGTACAATACTTAAGGGAAATCAGCAGTTTTATGTAACTTTTATGTAATTTTCAAAATCATACATTTTCATGGTTTAAGAGTTTATTTTATTCACCGACTCTGATATCAGCACAACTCACCAGTTTATAACATTTTCTTAGTGTTGTAAATGCGTCTAAATACTAGAAAGGCCGACATTTGCTTTGGAGCAAATACAGCAATGGCTTCACCACATTTTACGACATGGCAGGGAAAGAATGAGAAACACAAGGGAAAACAATGCTTTACATTGATATAACTATAGTATGAAGTAACATACAACTAAGACTACAACAGTTGGATAGCTATTCCCTACATTATTGGTTAGGATTTTTAATTGCATAATGCAAACTGTTGATTTTCAAGAAAAAAGAAGCGTTCATGCCCCGCATTCCAATGCTGGAGCAGGAAAGCTTAAAATACCTACCAAAACACTTGAATACAGACCTACTGTCAGTATGGAATGGCTCTGTGCAGGTATTAACAAGAGTTTCACAATCTCATACCTTCGCCAAATGATGTTAACCCTTGCGGGTGACGAATTATACAATTTTAATCATTGATTCTGTAAATAAGAGCCTCATTTTCATGGACTATGTCAGTTGATCATATTCTTCATCCAATGACAGCCTTATCATAACAAAAAGGATATTTTAGCACTTCCTCATAAATTATGCAAATGAGGTCATGATTTGAATAAATTATGTTTGTTGATGTTCACCTTCATTTAACTTCCAAATGTGGCAAGTATGAAATTCGGGGTGCAGCAGTTACAACTATGAAATTATAAGAATTTTCCATTAATTATGCAAATTAGGTCCTCATTTACATAATATATATCCTCAGATGTTTTTCTCGTTCTCAAGTAGATGTCACAAGTGTTTTATAGTTCTATTATCGAACAAAGCAGAGTTATAGAATTTCCTCATTAATTATGCAAATTAGCGCCTGATTTGCATAATTGCCATCTGATCATGTCAAGCATCACTTATACTACTTACATACCAAAAATCAAGACAATACGTCAACCGGTTCTTGAGTTATCGTCCTTCAAATTTTTTTCAACAAATGCTCCTGCAGTTCCAGAACAAGGCGCTAGGGGACCCAAACTCACGTCACTTCTTTCCTACCACAAGAGCTATCTACCAACCAAAATTCGTGACCCTAGCATGTCCAGAACATGAGATATCAAAACCGGAAGTTCAGCTGCAGTACCTAGGAAAGCCGCCAGGGGGCCCAAAATCTAATCATTTCTAGGTCTCATGAAGACCTACCCACCTACCAAGTTTCATTCCAATCCATCCACTGCTTCTCGAGTTATCTTGCTAAACCACAAACCCACAAACACACAGACAAACGCTACTGAAAACATAACCTTCTTGGCGAAGGTAATTAAGTTAAGCCTGTTAAATTCCAACAGCCAATCAGCAAGGAGAATAGAGGAAAGCTGCATGCCTATTGGTTGATGCCCTGCATTCCATTGTGATGACTCATGCCCAAATGTGGTAACACTGCACACTAACTCAGTAATACATTTGCTATAACACAGCCAAAAAACTCAAATAAAACCATTCTAAAAGCCTGTATCACAAAAATTAAAAAAACGCCTGGGGGTATTTGCCTACTGTACCTCCATACCAAATTTCAGGTCCTTAGGCCTCAAAATGAAGAAGCTGAATCCATTTAAAGAAATGGCAGGAGGAGAAGAAGAAGGAGGAGAATCATGAGAAAAAGCAATATGGTTTCACCACTTTGTGGTGAACCCATAAAAACGTATAGTATTTTACAAGCCTGGAAAATGATGCAGGGAAACTGCTTGTTTCAAAATAATGGACACAATTTGTCTACTATGTACCATGATATGTTGTTTTGTACCCTGAGTATGAGAATGTAACTCTCGTTCCCAGCAGCCCTATCTCCCTTGTTACTGGCGAATGTTCATACTAAGAAAATGAGGAAAATCTACCTCAAGAAAAAAGTACAGGAATATCGATCTTTGTAAGGTGTAAAGTCTATAAAGCTGAGTGTATTTTTTTTTTATTATTATTTTCATTTTTTTATTAAATACGTAGTACAAAATCACCATTATGATGTACAAAGTACAAAGTCTACATGTAAAGATATGTATATTCGGGTGGGATCGATCAAAAGCAAATCACACAAACCAGCACAATCTCCAAAACACATTAGACAGGCTATGGAATCACTACAATGGCCATGGCACCGGGTATGCCATTAGAGGCCATTAGATACACGATTTCTCCGTTTGCAACCTGCGTACTTTGCTGTGCTTTAACTTCTAATTCATTTAAATAATCAACTGCAAGCCGCTATCAAAACCGTATGGTATGATGCTACATTTGTAGTTGAGTGCCTACTACCCATATTCAGGCCATGACAACTTTTAAAGATGCTGTAATAATTTGATTTTGCTGGCTCTTCTACTTTAGGAGTATGGCTTCAACATATCCAAAGAATAATTCACACACTAAATTGCCAACATTTGTATAGTCCTGACCTGCTGCCTTTCTCATGGGAATGATGACTGAAACTACTAGCCTGCTACTTATCGCTAGTTTTCCTAGCACTCAGAGAAAGGTTGCAGAGGGACTACCGAAAATTTGGCTATTTCAGCTGTGTAAAAGACCTTTACAGAGCTGTTTCCCTCTCTAGAATGCTGTTAAAACAAATGAACTCCCCCGCGACTATGGCGTTGGAGGAGAAGCCCAGCGGCTGCGGGTTGCCTTGTTGATCAAAAGCCAAGTAACGGCTGCTGTCGATCTTGGACTGGTACTTGACCAGCTGGCCGTCCATGTCACTGCCTCTCGACCGGACAAACTGGGTGGACGGGTCTCCCATGTCCGAGTTTGCGGGCTCTGGTGTCTGTAGAGATGGTTCGAAAGCAAATCAGTTTCGTTAGTAACAGAAAAGTGGAATCATAGAGAAAAAAGACTCTCGAAAAGACAAAATATTAAATATACAAAGGGAACAAAAATGAAAGTTACAAAACTTACATGGAAAGGCCTTAACTCTCCGTTCGTCATGGAAATGGCAAAGTTCCTGTATTTTCCTCCCCTGGCTACAAACCGGACGATTTCATTCTCTCCCACGTAGTAGTTAAAGTAAGCTGGAACAAACAAACAAGATGGAAATACCGAAAGGAAATACAAGCTAAGTCTCTTACCTATGTATCTATCCATCTATCTAAAAAAAATTGTATGTAATAGATCTATTGGATTGACTGTCATATAAATAAATGCATATATAACGTTGTATATAAAGTTTGTTGCAGTTCCTGTTTACGTACATATATCTTATTGGAGGTTAACTATCCAGACCCCCCCCCCAGCACCTTTAACCAACTGAGAATACCCCCTTACTTCTGCTGTCGTGCACGTCGCCGTCGCACCGCACCTGTCCCCGGTCGTCGATCCGCATCCACATGCCCACGCTCTCCGAGTAGAACTGCGCCAGCGAGATCACGCACTTCTGGTCGTGATGGTCGATGGAAAACACGTCAGCCTGTCTGTCATACGGCACTTTCTGAAAACAACAACAACACAGGCTTCAAGTTAGTTTATTAAAGAAACGATGCGTTGCAGCCAGAGGCTGAATTACTTAAATTTACAGCCATCAAATTACAAATGGCTGTCGTCATTAAAACAGATAGGTAGCAATTTCAGTCAGGTCACTTGAATGGATGCATGAATTCACATGAATACATACTAGCTCTATTCAACAGTCAAGCCAAAACACAAAACACGCTACTGAACGTCTTGGCGAAAGTACCAAACAACTTACATTGAATTTCCCTGTCATAGCGCATTCATACCGTGCTCAGATGAACTATTGCGTTTAAACGTACCTGTACAAAAGAGGTATGTGATCTTGTATTTTATCTTTGAATGGAGGACGATGGTTTTCTACTCTTAATAACATTACAGCCTGGCTTCATCACATCACATGTCGATAAATACCACTGTGACAGCATTATATTAAGTTAACATTGTAACCAGTGTGTAACGTTAATGTGAGTGGGTATACGTATTTTATTTAACAAATACTGTTACTGGTTGTTATACTATCAGTAACCCTGAACATTTAGGCGCTTAAGTAAGTAAGCCTTAACACAAGCGGTTAGACAGCGAAATGACCTATGCGTGTCGTCCTAATGGCCGTATAATCTATTTGATCAGTAGAGGAGTTTGCACCACTGACCGCGAGGAAGTCGACACGCCTGATTGATTTGTTTGTATGATCACTCCAAAGTTTTTTGCCCCGGGGTTAATGTTGAACAAACGATTTTGTTCTTGGCAGACACGAGGACAAAGTCGTATCTGCATCGATCTCGTGCTCAGGAGGATCGATGGTACAGTTCTATCATCGTCTAGCTGTTGGTTTCCATTCTCTCAGTCGCCGTACGATATGTTTTGTTGTAAGATTTCGGCGAGGATACGACAGAACGACCTTCCAGAAGGATCTACAATAATCTTCTCTATCACAAGACAGTTCACCTTTGCTCGACGCGTCCGCGACTGTCCCAAGAATGTCCGCAACAACTTGGCCTCTATCGTAGGACGAATGTGGCTGGGCCCTTATATCAATATGACCTCGTTTGATACGACGTGACCATTAGCACAATCAAATTTACTCACCTCTCTTTTGACCACCTTGTCCAAGTTGTCTGAATCGTTCATGATTGAAGAGGGCCCCCAGACTTAGCTTCTGAGCAGGCAAAACAATAATCAGCTGGGGTTTAGGACTGTAAAGAAAAGCGACTACGAGCTAAGCAGGAAGTACGGCGGGCGACTCGCGCGGTTCCTCCGAGGGGGCAAAGGTAGGAGGTGCGGGGTCAAGGTGTCTAGTCTAGTGATCACGTGTTGAGTGGGCGGTTGTGGGACACACCTGTCATAGCGTCGAAGGCGGTACCCTCCGGCGCAGACCTTCTAGGTACGGACTAGAGAACCGTGGCCCATGACGAACATTGCAAATTAGCACTACGTCCAAATAAGTACCAGCCAAATGTTGAATATCGTAAATAATGCCCCCCCCCCAAAAAATGAAGACCGACCGCACCTTGAATGTCTGTGAGGGAAGCTACGAAGGTGGGCTGTACCTTTGTAGTCGGAATTACAAATAACTTTTGTCTCTTAAAATACTTTGAAATATTGAGATGAACAAAACCAACGTTATGATAAGTTATACATACATTTGTAAGTGTTGACGAGTTCAGTGACCAGTGCCAAGAAGAGTGATAAGTGTCCCTCAAAACGTCCGGAAGTAATCTTCATCCAGTGTTAGATCTAGAGTTCTAGTTGCCTATGAGTATCGTTTACCTGGATGTCTACACTTCATTATCACGTGCGTCTAACGCTGCATAGAACCTTCCTTTCATTCCAACATTCAAGTTGCCCAATTCCAATTCAGAAGGGACTCGATCCTGCCCTCAACAGAAGAATCGGAATTGCGCACATCGGATGATAGTACATACATCAGACACAACCACACCATGCTCTCATAACTCCGTCGGGTACCCTACGACCGTCATTTTAGAAGAAAAATGTCTTGAAACTGGGATATCTGAATTGCCCATACCGCGGGCTGACAGCCGCTGGGGCCTTTAGGAGAAGCAAGGACATTATATAGAAGCCCTTGGGAGAAGGGATGTTGAGAAACTAATTTAAAAGGAGAAATTGCTTGTGAAAAGGCTACAAACTCCTTATTACACCTCTTTGTAAGCTCAGAGAAGGTGCGTCCGATTGACTCTATTCAAGCCAGCCCGATTAGCAAAAGAAATTGCGAAGAAAGGAGCCGCATAACGCTGGTTAATTTAATCACGACTTCTGATGTACTAAGAACAAGTTCTTTTACAATGTCCTAATCGCCGTACGTCAGTTCCAATTCATTCACTTGGTGTATATCGGCGTCGTCAAGCATGGTAGTGAAGTAATCATGTTCATAGTAATTAGTTTAGTTGTAACAAAATTGTTGTTTCTCATTCATTTGCGAACGACCTCGGTGACCATTGGCTTTGTTATGATAGTCAAGTCCATGGCAATCAGTTGTGACACAATTATCAAGGGAACTAGATACACACACAACAGACGTCCAGGTGGACACCGACATACTACCAAGTTAGTACTTCAGCTACAAGCGCTTCCAGGTACCGTAAGTTTTTTGTGTTGTTGTTAGAATTAAATGTGGGCCGTTGATTCCTTGTCATATATCATTGATATTATATTGCTTCGCCATTGGTACTGAGTATTCCTGATTCGGCTTACGACGTCGTTGGAAAGGAAAAGGATAACATGCGTGGCGTTGTAATTTTGTAGTGTGGCTGCATACTGTGTGAACCTCACTCAATTGTGAGACGTCAAGGGAAGTACTGCAAAAGGAAATGTGTCACTCTCTCTTAATTGCATTCTCCTCTCTGATATAGAATGGCGGGAAAGTGTGTGGTAACCATGGTGATGGTGACGAGTCTTGTTTGTCTTCTGAGAGACAAGACCGGCGTGTCGTCTGCACCAGTGGAACCTGAATCAGAAGGTTCGCCAGACATATCATATCGAAGTGTGAAAAAAAAACTTTGGTTTGGTAAAGTAAGTAGCAAAAACAGTTCTATTAAATGTGAATAGTCTGTTCTGTTGAAAAAAAATCGGTGTTTATTGGAACCTACTTGAAATTCTGATCCTGATCCGCTACTGTGTCAAATCACATTTGTAGGAGAGCTCCAGATTGCTAAAAAGATTGGGGAACTCGACACCAATCTGAAGAATATACGAGAGACAATGACTGCTTTCAAAGGTACGTCGGATAAACTTTCATTAGTGCGAATCAATTTTTGTTGTGAGTTTGTTAATTTTTCTTTTGTTAAAAAAGTTGAAGCATATTTGGATTTAGTAGGAACCCATTTTGGAGCGCCTAATTTACCTAATGACGGATACAATTTTGCCCGTTAAGTACAAGAATAGATTAAATCAATGAGACAGCGTATACGTAGATGTTGATTTAATTCTTATAAAATTTTAAAACATGTGACATATCATACCTTTTGCGCAAAACATTTTACACAATCGTCCATAGTTCAAGATGTTTAACATTGTATTCTTACAGACATGCTGAGTGGCCTTGACAAACGATTCCTTGCACTTGACAGCCGAGTACTCTCCCTGGAGAGTAAGTACAAGGAGAACCAGGTGGAAGAACTGAGGGAGAACTTTCTGGAACGACTGGACAATATGGACATTTCCTTGCAAGTCATCAGGGAGGACGTTCGGGTCTTTAAGGAGTTAGACGCCAAGATTCTGGCTCTAGAAGAAAGGCAAGACGGGTTGGAGGCGCGTCTCGCTGCAACCAACGAGAACTTAGAAACGGCCGTCAACGCTTCCATCGAGCGCGCAGATGTGGTAGAAAAGGTGGATTCTATCGTTTTGAGAGTGGAAAGTCTGGAAAACAAGACCGTCACCAGAGCCCAACTGCACGAGGATTTGGTGGTCTTTAAGTGGATGGGTCCTAAGATTCTGGCTCTAGACGAAAGGCAAGACGGGTTGGAGGCGGGTCTCGATGCAACCAACGAGAACTTATTAGAAGCGGCCGTCAACGCTTCCATCGAGCGCTCAGAGGTGCAAGGAACGGTGGATTCTATCGTTTTGAGAGTGGAAAGCCTGGAGAACAAGACCGTCAGCAGAGCTCAGCTGCACGAGGACTTGCTTGTCTTTAAGTGGATGGGTCCTAAGATTTTGGCTTTAGACGAAGGGCACGACAATTTAACGGCGGCTCTTGCGAAAACCAGCGAGAACTTATTAGAAGTGGCCGTCAACGCTTCCATCGAGCGCGCAGATGTGGTAGAAATGGTGGATTCTGTCGTTTTGAGGGTGGAAAGCCTGGAGAACAAGACCGTCAGCAGAGTCCAACTGCACGAGGACCTGATATCGACATGTAGTACATGTGCAGCAACTTCCATTTCCACAGAGCTTATGGCGGAAATCATGAGCACGGTGGAGAGTCGATTCGGAGAGTCAAGCGGACCAGCAGCAGAGTCAAACGAAACATTAGAGTCAGGCGGACAACAAGAAGGGTCTGACGGAGCACAAGAAGAGTCAAACGAAGAACAAGAAGAGTCAAGTGGAGCAGTTGACGAGTCTGTAGGTAAGAGGTTTTTGCATTATTGATGAAGAATTGCAGCCTCATAAATAGCCTCCGTGGATTACTCGTAGTACAGCCCTGTGGCAGATTTGTGCTAGTTCCCCGCACCATGACTACATGGTTCACGTAGCCTTATTTGTATCAAAAGTTCGCCGTATAAAAGAGTCTAGAATAAATGTAAATACGTCTTTGCGACACAAATATAACGTTGTTTTAAGTGGTGAAGTCTTCTGACAGGGTCCTTCCAATTTTACTAGTGGCAATATTAATAAATCAATTTCCGCCTCAAAATATATAAAGTGAACGTAAACGTAAACATAATAATGACGATATCGCAACGATAACGCTCTAAGATTTCCAACAAAGTCGAATATAGTAACATTAAACTGAATATTGATATTGCGGAAACTTTACTTTATTTTGTTAAAAACGATGTGATACTCGTAAAAGGTAACGACACAACGTAACGTGAATCCATACAGTACGGTAGCGCGTGAGTCACCTCAGCCCTGTTAATTCATATCATCCACTACCTCTGTCTAGCAAACATTTTGTCTCGGGCCAAACCTTTTGTCTCTTGTGAAAAGTCAGATCAGTAAAATTTTGTCTTTTTTTCTAGATATCCGTCTCGTAGGTGGATCGGACTCTCACGAGGGGAGAGTTGAGGTGTTGTACGACGGTCAGTGGGGGACGATCTGTGATGATGGGATGGACATTTTTGACGCAAGAGTAGTTTGCCGTCAGCTGGGCTACCCGGGTGCACACGGAGCGAAATACGCCGCCTTCTTCGGCGAAGGCTCGGGGCCGATATGGATGGATGATGTGAGCTGTACCGGCAGCGAGACGAGCATATCCCAATGTAGCCACGCAGGATGGGGCGTTCATAACTGTGGACACCATGAGGATGTCGGGGTTATCTGTATACAGAGTAAGTAGGTGTAGATGTCCTCGATGCGTTTAAACCCAAGGCGACGTTTTCATGTGGTATCTAAATAAAATGGATGTATGATAGGAATCACCATACCTTTCCTGCATATGCCAATAATACGGGAGATTAATACTTGCTGGGCATTCAATGTCCGCCAGGTGTCGCTCCGCCTTAGAACAAGTTTCAAGTTTATTTCTTTTACCAGGGCATAACTCAGATCCGCTGATTTTCAGATAGCTGGGCACACACATTAAAATATATATTCATGAAAATTACAAGTTGAACAGAACAATATACAGAACTGTGCCGAGTACCTTTCCGAACACTGGTGGCAAAAGAACACATGGAACGATGGAGAGTGTACCATTGATGCCGACCATAAGTTCATCTGTCAAGTCTCTCCTTCAGCCATGAAGTTAGAAAATCTTCAGCTAAGGCGGCCCAGGGCATATATTAGCTATCACTTGGGTCGTGAATAAAACTTGACAGAACTCAACGATACATGTTTCAAAATGTCTCAACTTTGCAGGGATAAATTAGAGCGTCTAAATAAACGTAATGTTAAGTCGATATGTTTATTTTATGAAAATAATAATGCCATTAATTTTTGTAAAAACTGGTTACTTATGTATCAAGTTATGTATCCCTTTATATCGTCTATTATCGGCTAAAAGTGCCCGCGCCAACTTTGATGTCGGATAGTGTCTAAACGGCTTGTGCTAGAACCACCAAATTTGGTGACTTTTCCTAACATACCGTGCTAAATTTTGTAATTTTTGCTTAAACAATAGAATTTCATGGGTTTTATGTCAAGTTACACCATTCTCTGAAAATTTGGTGGTCATACGATATACCGTTCGCGAGTTCTGAGGGGGGGGGGCGAATTTCTGGCTGAAAAGACACATATTTCGCCCATTTTCTCTCATCAATCATGATTTCAAATAGCCTAATTGATGCGGCTGTCTCCCCATCAATAAGAAGATTTAACACCTCCATGAGAAACAATTACAAGTAAGCCGCTCATGTCAATTGTTGTCCATGCGCAGTTCTGTGTCGAACACTCTTGTTTTCACTGTTGACCCTATTGTTAACTAAAGGACACAAAATGACACGAAAAGACAGTTGCAAATGTCAAAAGTCGTGATCGCTTGTTCAGGTTTACTAAAAAAAAAGGGGGTACTTTCAAAGTTTCTCACAGGGAGCATGTCTTTTTTCTACCTCCATGTTTGTACCATGTATGATCCAAGCAATTTGCAAGGAGTTTTTGTGTTTTAATTTTCTGATGTTCTGAACATGTAAATATCAGATCTATCAATAGTATATAGTACATTTTAACAACTCGCTGTGTATTTCACAAAGGCTATAAAACCAGGTACCTTGTTCATGATATGACAGATGTATACTTAGCCGCTAAAGAAACATGTACTTTTCCAAGTTTTAGGTTCTGTGATTTTCTAAGACTCCGGTTTCGTTAATAATGCAGCGCCTTGATAATGCAGCGCCATTTTGCAAAATGGTTCAAACCAAACGATACAACTGTAGAAAATGCGTTCACAAAGCCTTTGGTTAAGTTGTGTTTCGCTTGATTAAATTCAGACTTGTTTGCTGTTATTTAGATTATTGTATTTCCCTGTCAGATTCTTTTTGTTCTCTTTTGAATTCAAGGCTATAAAAAGACTTCGCCTCCTACGCCCATCTATTGTGACCACTGTAATATTCTTCTCTACTGATTTAACCAAAGAGAACAGACTTTGACGACGTTGTCATTTAAAACGTTTAATCTTCGCAGTGTTACAATATATCTTCACTCTTCTTTGTGCTAACACCGTAACGTCTCTACAACATATACATCCAAGGAAAGTCGTGTAAAGTGCCTTTCCCAAAGGCATAAGATCGGTGACATGGGCAGGATTCGAACCCGCGACCTCTTGGGTTTGAGCCGAACGCGCTAGCTATATAGCGACTGCGTCACACGACGCCACACATTGTAGACGTATCTACGTCTATCCAACGTACCTCTAAAATACGACATTTTTGACAAGGGAATAATGATTACAACTTATGTCCCGCTTCAAAGCAGCGTTTATCCTTTTATATTTAACCAACCAGAAAATTGCCAAGTGGGAAACGGAGAATCTACATAAGAAACCCGTTGTCCACCTACATTTTAAACGACCCTTTTTATGGCATTTTTGCAGCATCCATCGTCATCCCAGACGTAACGTTTGTTAAATATGCGAAATTGTGACTCGGAAATGATGCCATATATATTTAAAACAATTGCAATATAAAACCTTCGCCCACTAATGACAATACTTTCTCACCTACTTTTTTGTAGAAAATGAAGTTTCTCCGACATTGGAAGCTGTTTCCGGGGGGACACTTATCGGCGGGGGAACCTATGGGTGCAACCACGACTACGTGTACGGTGCGAATCAGCCGTGGTGGACGGTGGACCTGGGAGGCAACTACACTGTCAGTCGGATCAGCCTTCTCAACAGGGCTGACTGCTGTAAGTATGTGGTGACAATATGTTGGATCTATATTATGTATGACCGCAATTCGGCGTAACACACCAGCTTCACAGGCACGCGGTGCGGCGGCATCTGGTTATATTACAGTAAACGACCTCTCACAAGTGTTACACGCGTTGTTTATTAATGAAAGCCATTTACATGTAGAAAGGATACCTACTGTACATGGTGGCAACAAGTTAGATTCTAGTTACAATAGTTGCAATATTTATGTACACGTGTCAAAAATACGGGTGCAAAATATGTTCTACCCTTTCCGATTAGTTCATATCACGAGTAGGATAAGATAAGTGACGACGACGTTCAGCCTTCCACGAACACGTCACTCTTCAGTGTATCAGATGTTACTATTTTCTGTGTACGTATCGATAACTTGGTTAACGATCTATGACTGCTGGTAAAACATGAGTCGTGACTATGGTAGGGCGACACCTGGCGACAGATGAAACAGGGTACAGGGTACATGGCGTCGTCATGTCATTTGAACCCAACATCACATGTAGCATGTAAGTACGTAACTATGGTAATTCATCTAGTATGAAGGTAAGGTGT